AGGAAGAAGTGGCTGAACTAGATTTTAAGGATTAACGTGAGCTCTCCAGGCATCTAAGTAGAGAAAGGGGAAGGGAAGAGAAAGGAGAGAGGGAAGGGGAGAGAAAGGGAGGAGAAACGGGGAGAGGAGAGCCTAAAACGTGGCATGAAACTAGCGGCAAAGTGGTGTTTGTGCTTGGGGCTGAAGCAGGGTATGACTCGGGTCACGGAGTATGAAGGGGTTTGAACTAGGCTAGGGAACTTGGCCTCCACATTGTAGGCAGTGAGAAGCATTGAAGGAGTTTTCAGTCAGGAAGTGATATAGGCCAACTGTTGCCTTAGAAGGATGTAGCCGGGACTGATGTCACAAGTGGACTGGGAGGGAATGAGGCTTAAGGCAAGAGCCAAGTGGAAGAAAACTGAGGAACACTGAAGCCACATCATTGGGGTGGGTGGAGGGAGCAGGTCTGAAGGGTCGATGTGCTGCACAGGGTGCCCAGGTTTCAGGTTCGGCAGCTGGGTGAATGGTGGGTAAGCCTACAGGAGGAGCAGCCGGTTTGACAAGATGTCGAGGTGATAAGCTTGGACCCAGTTGGCTTGGAGGAGCCCCTGGAGCCACCTGAGTGGAGACAAGGGCTTGAAGGGGTGTCTGAAGCTGTGCAGTTAGATGTTCCGGCATAGCGGGAGAAGCTGGTCAAGGGTAAGGGAAAGGACTGCTGTTGGATGGTACAGAGGATCCAGCAGAGTTTCAGGCCAAGACACAGGGTAACCTCTGCTCAGGATAGGTCAATCCCTGCCCTGCGCATTTTGTATCAATCCAGACATTTTCACTGCCAAGCTCAAGGTTCTGTGCTTGAGGCTGGCCACTGGGGGTGGAGATAGAGAGCTAAACATAAGCCAGTGACATTAATTCATTGATTCACCCCATAAAGCTTAGAAAATGGAACTTGGCCAATACCTTTGCAGAGTTAAATATTTAATCGCGATCATGACAAGTGATATGCAAGAAGAATAGAGCATGTTATGAAAGTGTGTCATAGGGTCATGACTTAGTCTAAGGCAGGGTTGCTTACTTCTGCACCATGGACATTTTGAACCAGATAATTTTTGCTGTGGGGCTGTCCTGCGAATTGTAGGATGTTTAGCAGCATCCCTGGCTTCTACCCAATAGATGCTAGTTGCCACACACCCCACCACCACCCCAGTGTGACAACCAAAATATCTCTAGACATTGCCAAATATCCACTGGGGGCACCGTCACCCTCAATTGAGATCCATTGGTCTAGGGGTCAGGAAAGGCTTGAGGAAATGATGTTAATCTGAGTTCTAGAAGACAGATAAGAATTTATCAAGATAAAGCCAGTATGGAGAGTGGAGGAGAGTATTCAGGGCACAGGTGTATGCAAAGGCCCTGAGGTAGGAAAGGACGTGAAGGAGACCAGTGAAGAGGCTGGTGCAGCCAATGAAGAGGCGCCTAGAGGTGAGCAATGGGGAAGGAGAAAGAATAGATGGACTAGGGACACTCAGTAGGCAACACAGGCAAGGAAGCCTCCTGAGGGAGGACGAAACTGCCTGGAAGGTGGCGAGATCCATTTTGAGAGTGTTGGGTTAGAGATCCCTGGGAGATCTCAGAAGCGATGTCTGGCTGGAGATATGGATTTGGGAGTTACATGCAGATAGAAGGTGAGTGAGGCCCCGGGGTGGATGAGCCAGGGAGCGTGTGTGGACCGAGAAGTGAAGAGCAAAGAGGAGGCCTAGAGGTGAGCTGTGAGAGTGCCAGCGTTTGGAGAGTAAGGACGAGGAGCCTGCAGAGACTGGAGGAGCTCCCAGAGAGAGAACGGAGGAACCCCAATTGTGTGGTACCCTGGAAGAGTGTTCAAGGAGGAGAGCCTGGCCTGCCGTGAAGTCTGCGGAGCCAGAGCAAGTAAGATGAGGATTGAGAAGTGGCTGCTGGACTTAGAAACCAGTAAATGCCATGGGCGAGGTCAGACTGAGATAGCCGAGGAATAGGACGGGCGGGAAAGGAGACAGCTGGCAGACAGCTTTTCCAAAAATGTGTCTGCAGAGTTGAGGAGAGAGAGTGTGGATGCCAGAAAGGGAAGTGGGTGAGGGAGGGTCTGGTTTTATTTGTTTGGTTAATTTTGTGTGTTTTGCCCCCCCCCCCATCTTTTTTTTTTCCTTAGAAAATAAACGAACATGGTTTAGAATGCAAAAACTGTGAAGATTTCATTGTGAGAGTCTTCACCCCCATGTCCCTTGGCCTCCCAGTTTCCTCCTCTCAGAAACAACTTCACTCGTTTCTTACAAATTCTTCCAGAGACTCTGCATGAATGAATCAGTAAACACGCATGTAGAGTCTTTTCCCCAAAATCATAGCACACTGCATGCTCTCTTCTGCCCCTGAGATGTTCTTTTCCCAATTAGCTAAGTCAAGATGCTTCCAGATCAGTAGATAGTTTCTTCATTCTTATTTACAGCTATGTATTCCCCCACTACATGGATGTCACATGATTTATTTAACTGATCTCCTGTTTATTGAACATCACAAACAATGTCCCACTGAATCACCTTGTGCTTTAGTTATTTTGCAGTGTAGGTGGGTTCACATGGGATAAGGTCCCAGAAGTGGAATTGATGGGTCAAAAGGTGTGTGAGTTTATATTTTGAAAGAAATCAGCCAATTGTTCTCCACAGAATTGATAAGAATGTGTACTCCTGCAAGCATGTATGAGAATGCTCATTTTTCCACAGATTCTGACATACGGTATTACCAAACTTACTGATATTTGCCAATCTCGGAGACAAAAAGAGTATCTCAATATAGTTTTAATTTGCATTTTCTTGCTGTGAATCAGGGTGAACATGTTTTCAAAGACATAAGAGCCATTTTCATTTCCTTTTCTATGAATTGTCTATGCATATGTTTTCTCCAATATCTATCTGGTTGTTGGCCTTTTTCTTATTGAACAGGGGGATGGGGATGATCTTTATTTGGGAAACTAGTCTTTTGTCTAGGATATAAATTACAAGTGTTTTTTTCCCCTAGTTGATCGATGAGTTTTTTTCTTGTTGCTATTATTTTTTAAGAATTGTGAATGCTGATGGGAGAGATTCACTAGAGAGGGGTGGTCCCTGGCACAGAGGTCCCTGGGGAAGCAATGGGGTGCATTCCACATTGGGAAGGCTGGGAAGCACCTCTGTTATTGTTACAGGCAGAGGCAAGGGAGGACGCTGGTGCCAGGGTTTAGTGGCCACAAGTTGAGAGAGGGAAGCCAGATGAGTTCATCCTGGGATCGGGTCGTGTTAAGGAGGCATCAGAAAGTTCAAGGGACAGGAGAATTACTGTATTAACCAGAGAGGGATTGAATTCATGAACCCTTGGAAGCTGAGCTAACTGACAGGAAGCGAGTGGATGAGTGTTCCATATCTGGTTTGATTCTTTATATGTGTTCGGCACCCATTAACCATAGGGCCAAACTAACGGCCAAAGTTGTTTACATCTCCCCTTCTATCCAGACTCTTTATTCTGCACCACCTCCTTATCTCACTCTCACACTCCACACCAATATTTCCCCTGCCCTAAACCAACGGAGAGCAGGTACCAGACGGCTAGGACAGCCCCTATGGCCCAGGGCCCACCGGAATGATTCAAATGAGCCAATCTTAAGCTGCTTACCCTGCCCTGCCCCACTTTTCCCATAGAAACCCCAATAAAGGCTCTGGCCTAGACCTTCCCCTTGCTCCTGTTTCTGCCTCTTAGCCAAAACCTAGTGCTCCCCTTGTGATCCCGTGTGGTGCGATGTATCCCCTTCTCTTGAGAAATTTAAGTAATAAATTCTTTCAATGGCATTAGCCTCCCCAAGTGCCATTCAGTTACCTCCATGAATTAAAATCCTATGAGTACAATTGAGACATAAGGGACCCTTGGACAGGGACAGTCTATGAGAGTCAGAAAACCACAGATTCCAGCAAGGCTCCCAAACTATCACAGTGTGAGTGGTTGAATAAGCAAGCTCTCAGGGCAGGCTTCCTGGAGGAAGTGGGCTGGAGATGAGGTGAGGCCTCACTGTGGGACTACAGAGCACAGAGTGGGAGGCACAGGGGAGGGTATGTCAGGGGTGGGGAAGAGGTGTGTGATCAGAACTGAGAGGCTGGAGAAAATGTACAATGAGAAGGTGAATCTGACCGTGTATGGGGAAGGAGGAGGCAATAGTGTCAAAGATGCAGGCTGGGTCCTACAGATGCTTTTTGAAAACAGTTTTTTAACGCCCAGTAATAATGTGCTTTGTGTTATCTCCCTCTGGGGCTTCGGGGTGGGGCAGTGAAGCTGCTTTTGATGAAGGACCTAAATAATGACATGAGGCCCAGCCCTGCATGAGGTCCAACATGACTCTTGCCAAGACAGTGAACCCCCTTGCTCCCCGTCCGTTTTGATATCACATTGACACAGCCCCAACCCTGGATGAACTCAGCTACCTGCCTTTGCTCTACCGCCTGCCCCTGGCACCGGCTCCCTCCTCCTGCCCTTCCCTTCTGCCTGTTACGCAGCAGAGGCAGTTCCCCTCCAGTCTCAAGTGAGCCTCTGCCATCTTGGCACCTTCTGCCTCCCCATGAAGGGCCTCCCTGCTCCGGGATTAGATGCCCATACCTGTTGAATTGCTCTGACCTTACAGTGGCCTTTGAATTGAGAAAATAATGCTTGAAGACCACAAAATCTTCAAGACATGGAGGAAAGAATGATAATGGTGGAATGGTTGGCAGAGGCATTGCTGTTTTGGAACTGGGGGCCCTGGCCCACACTGCCCCTACTCATGCAGAATCTTTTTAGGAGAGGGGTGCGCAGGGGGGAGAGAATTTGCCCATTTTAATAATGTTGGCCCAGATCCCAGTCTTCTCTGCCATAGGTCAATAAATCCACTAGAAGTTCATAAACTCACGAACACAATTAGCGATGACTCATGCTACCTTGTGATTTCTTTTTACATTGTCTAGAGAGCTATTTACCTTCTTGAGAGTGGGATTTGGGGGGAAATAATCATACATTCAGCAAGTGCTTACCTAGTTCTTATGAACTCTGAACTGGGCCACGGCGCTGTGTGTCTTATCGGTCTGTGGCAGGAAAGATCCATACAGCGATCCTCCAACACGCTCTGCAGCCTCGGTTGCCAGTGCAGAGGATAAAGGGAAGCCAGCTGGCTGTGGTTGGCAGAGAGGACTTCTTGAAAGAGGAAGCGCTCAAGCAGACAGTGAGTCTAGAAGAGGTGGTAAAGGAGAAGAAAGGGGAAACGAGGTCCAGCGAGGAGGCCCCTCGTTTCTGGCATTCCACTGGCCAGGTGTCCCTGGAGGAGGTTGGGCATCAGGCCTCCCTCCCTAGGGCAGCAGGTGAGCAGCTAAGATGGGAAGGGACAAGAGACAGTGGAATCCCTGTGGGCTCTGTCTCAGTGCGGGAGCTGTGCCTGGTGCAGCCTCTCTGCTGGCAAGGGAGCCCTGGGGGGACCCGCAGCCTAGATCTAGGGAGAGGTTGGACTCAGTGACTTTGCACTTCTCTGAGGGACTCTGAGGCCTTGAAAACTTCCAAAGGGCGGTTGTTGACTCCTAAAGGGTCCTTCGGTTGCCCCCAGGGCAGGAAACAAGGTTTTCTCCAGATCTGAGCTCAGTAATGCTTCTCTCAGGGAGTCCTTATGAGAGGTGGAGGTGGGAGCAGTAGCTGTGAGAAGGGTGCCAAGAGGGGAGGGCGACCCTTTCCGAGATATGGGGCGTCAGGGGTTTATTTCTTAAATGTTTTTGGTACTCGTCCTCTCTGGAACCTGACTGATGATTTTAAAAAAGGTAAGTGATAAAAAAAGAAATCCTGTGAAGGCGGATGAGACATTTGGCTTAACCAGAGGCTGAGGGTCAGAGACGAGAGAAATGGAAAGTGACTGGCTGTGCTGATCTCCTCCCTCCCCGCTCCTCCCTCCCCGCTCCTCCGTCCTGTCCTCTCTCCTTCCTAGTCTGCTTCGGTTTAATCTTCGCTATCCTCCCAGGGATAGTTCCTCCAAGTCCCACAGAGGCTCAGCTAATAGAATGTTGCTTTTCAAGACTGGAGGCTTCAGGACTCACCCTGGGCCCAGCTCGCTGTGTGGTCCTGAGCAAGCTACCCAACGTCTCTCGGCAGGGTTTCACACCTGGCTTCTCTTCTGGAAGCATCCGTTTTGTCGTTTAGTTGCCTTTTAGTCTCCTCCTAATAATGATCAAGTCTTTGCTTGTCGCTGTCAAGATTTCCTTAAGGGCCTGAAAAGAGCAGAAGAGGAGCCTGAGGAAGTCGACCCAGTGGTCAGGCTCTTACAGGCGGAGTGATGGGGAGGGGCAGAGCCTTTGGTTGGGCCCCCACCCAGCCTGCCTGGGTGTGCTGTGAACACACCTCATTGTTTGAAGCCTCAGATTTGACTTTCAAAGGGAAGGCATCTTTCCTGATAAAGGGAGCCTTGTTGCATTAAAGACAGCTTTGTTTGGGCTCCAGCGTCCTAGTGGTATGAGGAGGACAGAGACCGAACCAGGCCTCGGGGGGGTTAAATGATTCCTGGTTTGGGTTGGCCAAAGGGTTTCACGCACCTGGCCGTGCCGGTCATGCCTCCAGCATTGTTCTCTGAGTGCCTGTGGGCGCTGGGCAGGTATTGCTGTCCCCGTTTTCTCACACTGGGATGGGGAAACTGAGGCACAGGAAAGTCATACAGCTTGTGCAGTCACTTGAGCCTCCCGGAGATGGCTCAGGCGGACTCATACCCTTAGACTCCCTGCCCAGTGCTCTCCCACAAGCTGTTTATGGTGGTCCTAACACAGCTGGGTTCTCTGCCCCTCTGCTGCACCCCTTCTGCTCCGACTTACCCCCAGAAATGCCAGCTGCAGCTCACGATTGTGGAAATGAATTCACTTTGCTCAGGGAGGAAGATGCGGGCTTCTGTAAGAAAAGTGACAGGAAAAAAACTTCCTCTAATAATTTCAGCTAATCGCCATGACACCTCCCTTCTCCCCAAAGTACCAGTATATTCCTGAGGCCTTTCCTTGAAGACCCAAACAAATGAACCCGTAGTGGGGAGATTTCCAGCTCAGGGTGAGGGGGGGGGTCACCCTTGATTCACTTTTCCACCTCCTTACACAGGTGCCAAGCCCAGCATGGCATTCCTAGGCCAAGAAATACAGAGACCTATCTCCAAGCATGTTTCCACCTATGTGGTGCTTCTACTTCACAGTGCTCTGTGGGACACTGCCAGGACCTTGTTTGAGAGAGGCGTTTTAGGCATGAAAATGATTTTTTCCTTCTCACTTTTCATATAGAGGCCTGGCTTTCCCTCTCTAGGCAAAGTGAACCATTTTTCACAGTAACCAGTGGCTGTTGGGCCTTTGGGGGCAGGAAGGGATGACCAGGACAGCTGCAGCCAGAATCCCCACCCCCACACGGCTGCCTCTGGGGGCCCTCGGGTTCTGGGAGGACCTCAGGCAGGGGCACAGGGCCTGTCTGGATCCTCACGGTGGGTCTGGCCTCGAGACTCAGGGAAGGCAGGGCTTACCATTTCCACCATCCTGAGCTCTAGCTGCACATTCTTGGGGGCTGATTTTGAAGGACCTATTATTCCCATTCTTCATGGGTTTTTGATTAATGCATTTGCCTCAGCCCTTTTAAAAAGCCTGTGCTTAATAATGCTAGAATAATGACCTCGTGTCACATTTCAGCCACTGGAACTCTTAATCCACCACTGTATTCAAATGTGAAGTGTGTTGCTTGTGACGTTAGGTTAGCAGGAAAAGTTCCATCCTAGCGAGGAACAAGGAGGATCCGTTTTCAGTCTACCTAGTAGACCGTGGCAGGCCCAAGAAGGAAGGTGCTCCGACTTAACAACATCGTAAGGGTAGGTGCCCCGTTGAACACCTACTGTGCACTCAGCTCTCACACACGGGCTCTTGGTAATGCTTGAGCAGACCAAGGAGGTAGTCACTCTGGGGGATTATAAACATGCACATCCAGAAGCATCTTATGAAAATTCAGTGGAGTGTGAAATGCCCATACCGGGCCTGGAATAGACTAAATGCTCAATAAATGGGACTTCAAATCAACACTGTTGTCCCCATTCTACAGCAGAAGAAAGTGAGTCCTAGAGAGACTGCAGGACTCAAAGCCAGGTCGCCTTGACTTCAAGGCCCAAACTCACACTTGACCAATGGGAATAATCGTATGGTAGGGAGGCTCCAGCCCATTGGAGCTTCTCAATGACTATGAGGCCTTTTGCAAGTCACACCCCTTCCCACCTGGGCCCTATGTCCTTCTCTGACCCCCGTTATTCTCTAGCCTAGGCTGAAGGTTTGGGCACATGCTGGTCCCCTGTGTGGTGCATGTGACCTTCTTCCTTCTGCTAGTTCACACCGCCTTGGCTCCATGGCTGCCCTGACCACTTACCCCTCACCTGGGGGGTGTGTTCTTTGGGTAATAATTATGTGAAATGGCTCACCGAGCAGTTTGATTAGTTAATAATCCCCCCAGTCCTGGTGGGTGAAGCTCACCGTTAATGATTGCCAAGGAGAGCTCGTCAGGAATGTAGATCCTCTGAGGAGGGAGGTTTTTCTGAGCATGCTGGCCTAGAGGACGGACAGACCCCAGGGGTACCCTGTTGCGGCCTGCACCCTGTACCCTGTCACCGAACTGCCCTTTCATTTCTTATCTTTCTGAATTCAGCGCCAGCAAGCTTCCTTGCTCACCCTCTGCCAGCTCCTGTCCCTGGGGTCACTGCTCCTTTCTCTCTGCCAAAGCAAGCCCTCCTCGCCTTTTGGGAGCCACCTCAAACACTGCCTCCTCCAGGAGCCTTTCCTGACTGCTCCAACATCCCTGCTCTGGGGCCCTTCTCTGAACACCTCTGGGCCATTGGGCAGATTTTTTTCTGAGCACTCCTCAGCATGTCGGGCACTGTGCTTGGTCCCTGGGAGCCTGCACTGAGTAAGGTGCCAGCCTGCAGTCCAGGAGGGGCACCTATGCAGCCTGAGGTGTGGCAGGGGTGCCAGAGGAGGTCACCTAGGGTGGATGGGAGGTGAGGGGTACCAGAGTAGGATGATATGGGGCTCTGGTGGACACTGAAGGGTGAGGCAGACAAGGAATGAGGGTCAGGGCATCTCAAAGCAGAGGGAGCTGTGTGTGCAAAGGCACGATTCAGGAATCAGATAAGGATTCAGCTGTGGGTGTGTGGCATTTGAGGGACCCATGAGACGCCCAAGTGAGTGTGTCTAGGAGGCAGGTGGCCTCTCAGCGAAGTCTGTCTGCTTCCCTCCTGTTGATCAGACAGTTTTATTACTGTGCCTTCTCAGAAAGAAGGGATTCTCCTTGAGGGCAGCCATGGTTTCTTATACCTCTTACCAAGGACCTGAGCATGGAGCACGTGGTCACTGAAGAGATGTGGAATTGAATCTAAAGCTTTACCCACTTTGGTATCCATCACTGGACTCTCTCATTCTGCACCGCACCCCACCCCCCCATGCCCACCTCGCACACCTGCTTTTCACCTCCTCCTGCTAGTTCAGATCCCTAGCTTCTGTACTTCTGTGCACTTTGGGTCCTCAGTGCCTCATCTCTCAAATGAATTCTAGGCCATGAGAAAGTGCACAATTACCGAAGCTCAGGGCAGCTGTTCCAGAACTGGGTCTTGTGTGGGAATCACTATTAGAGTTTGATAACCAGGCTGCCCCCTGAGGATTCTGATTCAGAAAGCCTGAGATGGGCTTACCTGGTCAGTTCTGTGTTTGCAGCAAGCCCGCTGAATGATGTGGATGCACAGTTGGGTTTGGGACTTATTGTTAAAAGTTTTTCTACCCCTAACTTCACCCTCTCCCAGGGCCAGTACCCCAGACTCCACCTGGACACAGACTCCACTCAGTGCCCATGGAGAGGCTCTGTCTTGTTGAGGGATAGGGCCTCTGAGGTTTGAGCTGAAGCCTGCCTCCCCACAGCTCCAATCTGGGAGTCTCGGTTGTGCCCTCTGAGGCTGCACGGCCTCCTCCAGGTTTCCAGACCCGCTTCCCTGAGATGTAGGAAGGCGCCTGATGCTGCATCTTTGCTGGGTCTCCCTCCTTTTCCTCCTCCTGTGGTCTGGGCTCTCTCACAGGCAGACAGCTCTACCTCAGACTTTAAGTTTCTGATCAGATTAGAAGCTTGGGAGGGAGGTGGAGATGGGATGGTGCCTACCCCAGCAGCCTGACATTTCTCTGTTGGGGGTGGGGAACCCCAACAGTCAGGGCCTGCATTCATATTCCATCAATCTGACAGGGATTTCACTCTTTTCCAAACTGGGGGGAGGGACCTGTACCCACCCTGTAGGCCAGCAAGCCATAGCATAGGCACCCTGGTCCTCATCCTACAG